CCAAATGGCAACATCTAGGCAAAAATAGCTGATTTATACAAAATCTAAAATTCCATTATTGTCACAGCTTGTTTATTCTAGTCTCAATGACTCATTAAGAGTCACTACAATTCCACGTTTAATAAATCAACCATTGAGTTCCTTACAATTCCCACTTTAGAAAATAACCCTTTTCAAGAGAGCCTACAAGGAGGAAACAAAAGAATGTAACACATTATACTGATAATATTAAAAAGAAAATAGAATGTATGGCAAGAACAAGGAGAACAGTTTAAGAGTAAACCTTATTGTTTCTGCGACACAAAGGGTAGTGGGTGGTATTAAGAATTAGTCTGGATTACCTACATGGGCGTTGGGGGTATTGAGCATTAGGCTGGATTACCTGCAGGAAGGTAGAGGAGGATGTTAGTCTGTATTACTTGAGGAAAGTAGGGGTATTGTTACTCTGGCTTACTCATAGGAATTTAGGGAGTGATATTAAGCATTACAGTGGATTAACTACAGGAAGGTAGAGGTGGCATTAATCTGGATTACCTGTAGGAAAGTAGTTGTGGTAATTGGCTGGTGTACCTGTAGGGAGTTAGGTATAAATCAGGATAATGAAGGTAGAGGTGGTATTAGTCTGGATAAACTGTAGGAAGGCAGGTTTTGATTAGGTATGTATTAGTCTGTTTTCCCTGTAGAAATGTAGGTATCAGTCTGTAATAAGAAGGTAGGTAGGTATGTATTCTGGATTAGGAAGGTAGGTAGGTATTCTGGATTAGGAAGGTAGGTATTCTGGATTAGGAAGGTAGGTAGGCATGTATTCTGGATTAGGAAGGTAGGTAGGTATTATTCTGGATTAGGAAGGTAGGTATTCTGGGTTAGGAAGGTAGGTAGGTATTCTGGGTTAGGAAGGTAGGTAGCTATTCTGGATTAGGAAGGTAGGTAGCTATTATTCTGGATTAGGAAGGTAGGTAGCTATTATTCTGGATTAGGAAGGTAGGTAGCTATTATTCTGGATTAGGAAGGTAGGTAGCTATTATTCTGGATTAGGAAGGTAGGTATTCTGGATTAGGAAGGTAGGTAGCTATTATTCTGGATTAGGAAGGTAGGTATTCTGGATTAGGAAGGTAGGTATTCTGGATTAGGAAGGTAGGAAGCTATTATTCTGGATTAGGAAGGTAGGTAGCTATTATTCTGGATTAGGAAGGTAGGTAGGATTAGGAAGGTAGGTAGCTATTATTCTGGATTAGGAAGGTAGGTATTCTGGATTAGGAAGGTAGGTAGGAAGGAAGGTAGGTAGCTATTATTCTGGATTAGGAAGGTAGGTAGCTATTATTCTGGATTAGGAAGGTAGGTAGCTATTATTCTGGATTAGGAAGGTAGGTAGCTATTATTCTGGATTAGGAAGGTAGGTAGCTATTATTCTGGATTAGGAAGGTAGGTAGCTATTATTCTGGATTAGGAAGGTAGGTATTCTGGATTAGGTAAGGTAGGTAGGTAGCTATTATTCTGGATTAGGAAGGTAGGTATTCTGGATTAGGAAGGTAGGTATTCTGGATTAGGAAGGTAGGTAGCTATTATTCTGGATTAGGAAGGTAGGTAGCTATTATTCTGGATTAGGAAGGTAGGTATTCTGGATTAGGAAGGTAGGTAGCTATTATTCTGGATTAGGAAGGTAGGTATTCTGGATTAGGAAGGTAGGTAGCTATTATTCTGGATTAGGAATGTAGGTAGCTATTATTCTGGATTAGGAAGGTAGGTAGCTATTATTCTGGATTAGGCAGGTAGGTAGCTATTATTCTGGATTAGGAAGGTAGGTAGCTATTATTCTGGATTAGGAAAGTAGGTATTATTCTGGATTAGGAAAGTAGGTATTATTCTGGATTAGGTAGGTATTCTGGATTAGGAAGGTAGGTAGCTATTATTCTGGATTAGGAAGGTAGGTAGCTATTATTCTGGATTAGGAAGGTAGGTATTCTGGATTAGGAAGGTAGGTAGCTATTATTCTGGATTAGGAAGGTAGGTAGCTATTATTCTGGATAAGGAAGGTAGGTAGCTATTATTCTGGATTAGGAAGGTAGGTAGCTATTATTCTGGATTAGGAAGGTAGGTAGCTATTATTCTGGATTAGGAAGGTAGGTATTATTCTGGATTAGGTAGGTAGGTATTCTGGATTAGGAAGGTAGGTAGCTATTATTCTGGATTAGGAAGGTAGGTATTCTGGATTAGGAAGGTAGGTAGCTATTATTCTGGATTAGGAAGGTAGGTAGCTATTATTCTGGATTAGGAAGGTAGGTATTCTGGATTAGGAAGGTAGGTAGCTATTATTCTGGATTAGGAAGGTAGGTAGCTATTATTCTGGATTAGGAAGGTAGGTATTATTATAGTGTGGTTGTCCATTAGAAGGACTCTGATGGCTGAGAGTGATATCTAACCCTGTGATCCGGGGACATGCCAGCTATTACTGACCGGGGAGAGCCGGGGACATGCCAGCTATTACTGACCGGGGAGAGCTGGCCCGGCCGTGGCTGGATATAACCTTCAGCACTCCCACCTGTGACAGCAGACACACCGAGTCCGGGAGCCCGAGCCGCTGACACGGGGGTCACTCACTCACCTGCACAGCCGGCTCCCGGGACAAACTCCGCGGGAGAAAGTCCAAAGCGACCCGTCTGAGGAGAACCGGACTCTCGGAATATGGCGGAATAAGCCGAGTCCCAGCCTCGGCCAATGGCGACTCGCTCGGCATACACACTGACCAATGACGGCGGGGCCGAGCAACGCGAATAGCCAATCAGAAAGAGGGATCGGAAAAAAGTAGCCAATAGAAGTAGAGGAAAAAGTACCTGTCGGAAGAACGTAGAATTCGTCCAATAAGGAGACGCGAGGATTACACCTGCAGCCAATAGGGGGCGAGAGATAAGAAGGGGGCGGGGTTAGGTTACTTACTAGGGAGCTGTCAGTGAAGGAATGTCAGGGCTGCTCAGATATTTTCCACAAAGTCTCTCACACAGTTCACTCCTTAAAACATTTAATAAAGTGAAAACTGTACTTTTGTGTAGTAAATAAACACAAATATATAAATTATTCGTGTTATTGTGAAGTAAAAGAGAACACACATCAATAATGTCACATTATTATTATTATTACAATACACTTTGTACATTCAGACTAGCATGTTGTGTAATATATTTTATCATCATTTGATAAAGTTAAGTAAATCTCACTAAATATGAATTTACCAGTAGTCTATACCCGTGGTTCACAAACTTTTTAGGTTCAAGGTGCCCTTAAAGGACCACTATAGGCACCCAGACCACTTCAGCTCAATGAAGTGGTCTGGGTGCCAGGTCCCTCTAGCAGGGACGGTATAGCCGCGAGGCAAACAAAGGCATTTGCCTTGGGCAGCATTTTCCAGGGGGTGGCAAAAAAGCCGACCCCAAATGCCCAGGGCAAATGTCAAAAATGTCAAATGTCAAATGCCCAGGGCAAATGTCTTGTTAGCCTTGCGGCTAACTGACAATCCGGGCGGTCGGTCGGGCGCCGCAGAGTGATGCTGGGAGCCGGACTATGACATCATATTCCGGCTCCAAGTGACCGGCATCACTCGGGGCGTGCGAGGCAGCTAAGCACACAGCTCTGGGGAAAGTGCTCCCTCGCCAGCGTTGCCCGCCCGCCCGGATTGTCAGTTAGCCGCAAGGCTTTTTTGCCACCCCCAGTAGCCCCACTAGACCACAGGGAGAGGGAGCCCCCAGCATTCCCAAAGGTAAGGAGGCTGGGGGGTTAAATAAAAAAAAAAAAGTGAGTGTGTGTTAGTGTGTGCGTGTTAGTGAGTGTGTGTGTGTCTGTTAGTGAGTGTGTCTGTTAGTGAATGTGTGTGTGTCTGTGAGTGAGTGAGTGGGTGTGTGTCTGTTAGTGTGTGTGTGTGTGTGTGTGTGTCTGTTAGTGAGTGTGTCTGTTAGTGAGTGTGTGTGTGTCTGTTAGTGTGAGTGTCTGTTAGAGTGTGTGTGTGTCTGTTTGTGTGTGTGTCAGTGTGTGTGTGTCTGTTAGTGTGTGTGTCTGTTAGCTAGTGTATGCGTATCTGTCAGTGAATGTGTGTGTATTTAGAAGGCGGGGAAGGGTGGGGTGGGGTGGCGGAGGGGGGGGGGGCCTGAGTTTTGTCCTGCCTAGGGCAGCACAAAACCAGGATACACCACTGCCCTCTAGGGTTAACCCTGCAGCTGTAAACATAGCAGTTTCAGAGAAAAGGCAGTGTTTACATTACAGCCTAGTTCATAACTCCACTGGACACTCCTCAGATGGCTGCTGGAGGTGCTTCCTGGGGCAGTGCTACACACTGTGCAATACTGCCATTCAGTGTCTCCATCCTCTGCATTGGAACACCGAACTTTCCTCATAGAGATGCATTGATTCAATGCATTTCTAGGAGGAAATGCTTATTGACAAGGGCTGTGTTTGACTTATGCTGGCTCTGCCCCTAATCTGCCTCCTTGACAGTATTAGCCAATCCTATGGGAAAGCATTGTGATTGGCTAGCAGAATCAGTTATGAGGCTATCAGCCAAGCAGACAGATCAGGAGCAGAGGCAGCAGCTGCATACTTGAATACAAGAAGATTTTACTATATTTTCCTGACCCTATCGTGTACCTTTAATTATCTGCTGATCATTAGTGCATAATAAGAAAATCTCTCACTCACGTGTTAGAATGCCCAAATTTTGCTCTGGACATCATGATCAAAAACGATTAATTAAGCACTATAACCATTACGGAACCCTGTAGATGTTATTGTGCCAGGAGAGTTCCCCCTTCCCCTCTCCTATTGTAAATAGTAAAAACATTTGTGAGTGAATTATAAAAATATGGCCTAATTACCCGCTCTCAGTACTACCATCCAGCAAGCAAATTAATAAAATAAAAAGACTCAAACTCAGCTGCATTAAGTGAAAACTGTAGTTTAATGTAGTATATAAACATATATATATATATATACACATATTATTATTCATGTTATTGTGGAATAAAAGAGAACACAAAACAATAATTTCACATTATTATTACAATATACTTTGGGTATTTAGATTATAGCATGTTGTATAATATATCATGTATTTTATCATTATTTATCATTTCCCTGCAAGCGGCTGGCCACTGCTGATTAGCTACCTGCACACTAAAAAAAATTTTTTTAAAGTTATAGTGGTAATTTTTACTACCCTCTAACTATATGGAGATATAAAAATTCCCTTATTCCCCCACATGGATGAGGACACATTTGCTAAACGATGAGCAGCTACTGACTGTTGCTTAGATTTCTGACTGGACCTGATAGGCCACTGTCAGCATCCAGCATGTTGGCTTTGACTTTGAAGGAGTGCCAAGTCTGAGCCAGCAAGGAGATCGAACGTTCACCTTGCCCAGACTTGCACCGCTCAGTATACTGAGGTAGCATGTGGTCTGGACTTCAGTCAATAGTTGTAACGTGAATATAACCCAACACGCAGGATTCAGCTAAACAGAGACAACACAGAGGAGAGATACGTCTACCGGACCTTAGAATGGCCGGACTCGACGTATATGAGAGGAGGCAGAGTCAGGAACGATCCGAAGTCAAGGGCACAGAGAGACAGCGTAAACTAGGACAAGCCGGGGTCTGGTACACAGTAAACAGTAAGCCGACAACCAGAACAGATAAGAATAAAGAGAAAACGTAGTCAGAAACAAAGCCAAAGTCAATACGGAGAAATACAAGTGAACACAACACGCGCTAAAGGGAACTGATACAGAAACCACGATAGGGCAGGGAGTAAATGGAGAGGTAAGCTTAAATAGCCTCTCTACTAATGTGATTGGCTCCTGTCATATCCACACCCCCAAAAGGTAAGTGTATGGGGAGTGTGGCATGACAGGGGCCAATGGGAGCCTTTTAACAATTTAGGCTCCCACTGTCTCTTTAAGAGCGCGCCCGAGACTCGCTGCGCGCTCTTAGATTCAGGCGGGACACGTGACCGCTTCTCGCGGTCACTGCCCGCCTTTCTAGTGAGGCTGTCGGATGAGCCGCGCGCGGCTCGAAGAGAGGACCGCGGCCTGCCCCTGGAGAAGGTGAGTAACGCTACAATAGTCCCAATGCTTATCAATGGCTCAGAGAGCAGCGCCGGGATTGAAAGGAGTTCTGGGTGTAATCTCCACCCACTGGAATACCAGGCTAGCATATCCCTCCACTGGACCACCAGGTATTATACCATCCTCTTGACAAGAGGGAAGCAGGAGGGAGGCGATCTTCACCTCACTCTTACTGCACATCATGTCCTACCTCTCATACTGTTCGCAACTCAGAGCTCCACCGATGGATCAGGCAGAGGAACATAAAAATATACAGCACCGATAGCCTCCTTATACTATGACTATTATAAGCTGTAGTTTTTATGATGCTTGAAGTTTAAAATCAAAAATCCTCTAATATACCATAATCATTCTCTTGACATGGGATTATTGGAAAGTTTAGAGATTAAAAAGCTTACACTTTAATTGCATTCTCTGATGGGTGTGTGGTCAAATATAATTTACTGTACCTCAGTATACTTATTTGATCTCTTAGAAGTATTCTGTACTAAAAGTGATTAGCGATTAAAGGATTCAAAAAGTTCAGTGTAGATTTTACCACATCCTCTCTTTAAATATCCCTGTTTAAGAAATAGTGTATTTTCTATCATTATTTATTATGGGGATTTTGATTTCGAGAAACATTTATTTATTTCGTGAACATCATTAACTCTGTTTGCATGTCCTCAATGTAACAATGCTATTTATGCACCGGTTATCTTGTTTTTTGTTGTTGTTTTTTTTTTAATTTGACTGTTAAAAAATTGACTTCTTAATCTTGAGATAAATAAACTAATACCAGATTCCTCCTCAGAACAAAAATCTCCAAATCCCCAGGAAGTAACGGAAAAAGAAAGGGAGCATTTATTGAAGCATCATCACAGTTTAAGAATAGAGGGGGAAGGATTTAATTCATCTGATGCGTTTTGTGGCCATTCAACACTTCCTCAGTCTGCCTAAACCATTATGCTGTTTAAATAAAGGTTCACTTTCTTTTTTCTTTACTTCCTGTAGATTTAGACATTTCTTTTCCTTTTGAGGTGGAATTTGGCATTTTTATTTATCTTGTGTTAATTTTCCACCTGACTTACAGGGTGACTACTATACGACTGCACCCTGTTGAAAATTCCTTTCAAGCCAACCTTTTATCTTGCCTCGGGATAGTAAATTTTGACTGTAGGTGCACTCTGGATGATTAATTATGAAATGGACATATAAATGCTCCTGTGAACCAAGTGCTGTTCATTTTTAAACCCTTCCGCCATCAAGCTGGATGTTATGAACTTTAAGTTAGTTTTTTTTTTTTTTTTACTCGATATATGTTGATTGCGCATGAGTGTGTGTTTTTCAATACATCATGGTTAAAATGCATCAAGCCCTCAATGTATCTGTGGGAATCAAAACCCTTCCATTTCAGCTGGATTTAAAAATAAGGTGTTTTTTTTTTGTTGCCAAGTGCTCTGTGCATTTACTGGTATTATAAGATGCACAATATATGCCAGGGAAGCAGCTTGATATTGTATTATAAAACTCTTTGCGACTGTACAAAGTGAAGATATCACAGATCACTGTGCAACCCTGTAATCATTTTTAGCTCCCCAATTTGCAAATGTAGTGAATACGTCATGTATATATCAAAGACATTCTGATAATTAAATAATCTTTACAGTAACGTATTTAGATATTTAAATGGTCAACGAGACAGATATATCTATAGAAAAGAATATTTAAGAATTTTATGAAATTTTACACGTTTCTTTCTTATGTGTGTTTTATAATAATTCAAACTGTATTTCAGGAGGACTCAGTTTTAATAATATTGGACAAGCTTTTCAACAGATTTAATATTTTTGGCTAAACTTTTCAAATGGTTTTATATTTTGAAATATATTTAAAGGGATCCTATTGTGCCATGAAAACAAACCCGTTTTCCTGGCACTATAGGTTTAATAGTTCTACCCCCTTCAGCGACTTACCTTAATCCAGCGTCGGGCTCCTTCGGCGCTGGTGACCTCTTCTCCCCCTGCCGACATCAGCTCCCGAGAGGAGCCGAATGCGCATGCGCGGCCAGAGACGCAATGCTAAATGCTTTCCTATGGGGATCTTATTTGACGCTGGACTCCGTGAGGACATCCAGCGTCAAAAAAGTGGGATTTATTCAGTTTACACTGCAGGGTTAATCCAGCCACTAGCGGCTGTATTAACCTTGCAGTGTAAACATAGAAGTTTCTCTGAAACTGCTATGTTTTCAGCTTCAGGGTTAAAACTAGGGGGATCTGGCACTCAGACCACTTCATTGGGCCTATAGTGGTACTTTAATACTTAATTTTTTGTTTTAAAACAACAGAGATTGGTAGTCAAAGTTTCGCAAATGTTACGTCCTACTTTAATATTTTAAACATTTTAATATATGATTTTTTTTATTTTATTTTAATATTTTGGGGAAGAACAAAAAAACATTTATGAATGTATCCAAAATTATTAAATCATTTTAAACGCTTATCCAACAATATTAAACTGAGGCTAGAGTGGCTTTTCAGATTGTGGTCTAATCCTGTTGCAATAGGTTTATGTATTTTGCCTCCTGTGTCTAACATGTATTATAATAATCCTGTAAATTTCTATAATGACTGTCAGGGCATTTTTGCATATGAAGAATATCATCAATTCATCAATCACTTGCTTTCCAATTGAAAGGTAAAGGCGGAAGACAAGGAAAGGCCCATCCTGTTGGCACAGTCCAGATAGTAGGCTCCATACTTCGCTTGCGCAGCAAGATCTCCTGCTTCCATTTACGGGCGTTTGTGTGTCTTGTTCATTGTTTGTTTCCGGAGGGTCGGAGGACTGAGTGAGCACTAGTGTGAACTGCAAGAGTGCACAGCTGAAAAGACATAATCCCGCAATGGCTACTTGCCAATTTGTATCCACTCCGGGTGTTTTTATCATATTTAACATATCCAAAATGTCAGCTCCTAAACCAATATAGAGCAGGAGAAGTTGTGTAAGTTGGTCTCTATTCATCTCTCCTTTTGGTGCAAGCCACCGTCCGACAACCAAAACAAGAACCATAATCTGTTCCAGTATTTGCGCCCAGTTTGTATAGGTGCTGAAGTTCGTTTCCTGATAAACAATTAAAATATTGTTAATTCCTACAAATAAACATTTATGTTTAGGAATGTTTCCTGCATAATGTATAATGGATGGAAGCAACTGTTGAATATTTGACTTTACTGAATACTGCACTACCTTTATTGCAAAAAAAAAACAATACAGAACAAAAACAATCTGGCTCCCTTCTACAATCCATCATCTACAAAGTCTACTTTTTTTCTTCTGCTAGTATTTGTAAATTAGACTCCCTCCACGAATACTAACAGATCAGCTGAGAGGTCTGGGATTGGCTGCCTGCCCTAGTAGTCCATAAGTTTTGTGTATGAATGATTGAGGTATCAGAAGGAAGAGATCCCCACACAGTTCAAAAGAATATCCATATTTTAACATGAATGTTCTCCCATTTCTATGCATCTATAATGAATGTACATTAAAGGGTTACTCTTAGCACAACTGCAAGGGTGATGGTACAGAGAGCCCCCTTGGACTATACTCAGCTCTGAGTGTGGTTTAGATTTGCAGGGATTTGTAAAAATAGCTGAAGCTGTAAGCCAACCCTTCAGAGCTGTCAATCAAGCAGGCTGCTTGTATCAGTTTTCTCCACTTTGTACTTGTGCTTTGACAAAGTTGATGGGATAAGGGTTTCTTCTGGATGAGGGAAAGGGTTAACTGCAGCTGCATGAAGACCTATTAATTAGTGCATCATAGAAATACCTTGAATATATGTATATCATTTTATTTTACAATTTTAATGCATTCTGTATAGAATGCAGTGAAAGTAGCGGGAAATTTTACCCCATACTTTCTCCTTAAAACATTATGTACATATTGGATGGTAAATCCACTGTGTAGTCTCCATTTAATTATTTTGAATCTTTCATTTTGTGGTTGTGGTAACAGCACTATTATCCATCTCTAAAATATCCTGACTTTGGCTACCTAAACTACTACAACCTATAGCCAGACTCAGTCACTTGACACCAAATCAAGTCACCAAAACAACTTTACCTTAATGAAGCAGTTTTGGTAAATAAATGCTAAATTCTCCACCATTTAGCAGTTAAGTCATTTTGTTTCTGTTTTTGCAGCCCTAGCAACACCTCCCCTGGCCATGACTCACACAGCCTGCATGAAAAAAAAAAAGTTTAATTTTCAACCAGATGTTAACTTGGTTTAGAAGTTTTTATCTCCTGCTGTGTAAATTGAATGCACACAGGAGGCTCTTGCAAAGACTAGCAACTATTAATACTGCAGGAGATAAGAAAATCTAATTTAAACAGACTGTGCAATGAAGGAAATGTAAACATCAGATCTCACTTTACAGTAGGTGTTTTGAAAGGCTGTGTAAGTCACAAGCAGGGAGGTGTGACTAGGGATGCATAAACAAAGTGATTTAACTCCTAAACGGTAGAGAATTGAGCAGTGCGACTGCAGGGGCATTATCTATACACTAAAACTGCTTAATTAAGCTAACGTTGTTTTGGTGACTATAGCGTCCCTTTAAGTTGACTTTCACACATAATCTTACCGGTACTACTTTTTAATTGTTATTCTTTTATTAATTTATTGATTATTTATTTGTAACTCTTTAACAGTGCCCAGCTACTGATGAAAATATAGGTACTTTACAACAATGGTAAATAAAAATGGATACCTGTTCTAAAGTATCTTGATCCATGGTTGAGTTGGAGATTAAGATTCTGGTTTCAAGCAGCTCAAGTTCCAAGAGAAAGACAGAGGGGATTGTTGAACTCAAATAGAGAAAAACCATTGGGGAAAACCTACAGAAGATAATATTGTTCACTATTACATTTTTGAAAAGTTCCATCATGTGAATTTTTATTGTATTATTCGTTTAACCAGGCTATTTTAACACTTTATAACCAACGAAGGAATAATCCCTCTGCAATAAACCAGTCGTTAAAGATCCTTTAACAGAATTCCATTTCCCCCTCATTTAATAATGACAGAGCTCTATAGACTTTTATATAAATAAGCAAAGCATTACAAATTGGCATAGGATTTTCAGTGACCAGATTTCGTTGAAATCCATTAGTCCTTAAAGTGGCACTGTCACACCAAACTTACCTTTCCCCAATCGCTTCCTCTTCTCTTCCACTCTCAGAATCTGTTCTTCTTTTCTTCCTAACTGATCTAATGCTCTTTAAAACATAAGACAAAGTAGGGACTCCTTTGTATTATTTATTTTTTCTACACTAGACCTTCTGCTCCATTTCCTGTGGTCACAGAAATTTAGGAATTGGCGGTGAGCAGAGCTACCCGTTGCTTCTATTTTTACATATTGAAAATAGAGCCGGTAGCTCCATCCTTGTAATAAACTGAACTAATGGTCTTTGTTGGTTTGAATACCGTTTGTTCTTTGTAATTTCCATTCATTTGTCTTTCTGATTAATTAACGAATAGCCGAAATTCCTATCCGAATTTTTCAAGCTGAACTGGGCATGGTCAGGAATTTTCAGCGCTGTCTAGTTTTGGCAGATGACGTGTCCAACAGGGCCTTCATCTGCCCACACTAAGATGGCGGCACCCATGACAAGATCTGGGCATGAAATCTAAGGGTAAAAAAAAAGAGTAAAATGGGGAACCAAAGGGCATTTGTGGGTTACTAGGGGGACAATTAAATGTAGTGGAGTCGGGAGAGGGGTTAAAATAAGTGGCCATGACAGTGCCGCGTTAAAGCAGCACTCGCACACCCCTTAATCTTTCTGATATACTCATATTGACTATGTTGGCATTTTACTGAAATTCTAACCCAGACAAAATATATCCTGAGACATCTTTTGACTGTCTCTTTATTTTCCCTATGCCTGACACTTCTTGACACTGGGCACCGTTAAAAAGCATCAATCCCACAGTGGTCACAAGTGACAGCTGCATGGAGTTGGCTCTATACATGGAGGGTCTCATGGGATCCTCAATAGATCTCAATGCTGTACACTCGCGCATGCATCTGCTTCTGACCCTAAAGCACAATCAGCAGTACAGGGCTGGGCTGGTAGAGGATGGCATTACCTGCATCACCAGGTTCAGGTATATAAAACTAAAACTCACCTTTACCTGCTCCCCCCAGCCACCAGCAGCGACGTTACTGCCGGGGGTATGTTACAATTTTGCAAAGTCCCCAGACAGTGACAGTTCTGTTTTAAGGGGTTTAATTTTGCTGTAATTGTCAATTGAATATCTAATGATCTTTCAGTGTTGTGTTGGATGATATTGCATCACAATATTTAATTAAGCAAGTAACCTGAAATTTAAAATAAATATCTATTTATATTTATAAAAAATTATTTTTTTCAAAATGCTAAAATCTGCTAGAGGATTAGAGCCAGGGACTCTTCAAACATTCTGACTAGGTATCAGATTTAGAATATGCAGGAAGAATGAAATGCTTGCTTGCTGTATGGCCTCTAAGCTCAAATTAAAATCAGGTTATCTAGAACCTAAATTTAGTAAATGGCCGTTGAACAGGTTTTAAGAAATTGTCGACAAAAAAAGTAAAGGTTTCTAAAATTGTTTATCATGGTGAAAGGCAACATTTCTGATGAACGAAACTTAGTAGAGAGAAAATATGAAAATAGGTGAAAGTAAGTCTTTCGATGGCAGAGCAGCACAGTGTTATTCTCTCTTCTGTTGTGCTAAAAGGACACAATAAATAAAATATACTTATATAACCTAAAACACAAATGGGGTCCGTGATGCCCTAGCTTTAGTGGAGTGTCTCTCTCAACTACAGCTGAGGTACGACTTATAAAAAAAAAAAAAAAAGTTAAAAACAAAAATGGGGCCTGACATACAGATGTTGAGATGCAGATACCTGGGGAATTATCTGGGACGTATATATACAGAGAGTGATGTCCTATAAGATACATAAATGGATGGTATTGAGATATATTCAGGTGCCCGAAAGGTAGATCCCCAGATGTTTTCTAACTACAACTGCTTTGTCATTCTAAAGCAGGGGTGGGGAATCAGTTTTGGAAGGTAATGCGAGGCGTTCTCATGAGCGCCCACTTCAGGGGCTTTCCCCGGTTTTCGTATGTTCATGAATAGTGTTCGACTCCTTTTGACAGTGCTGGAAACTGCTCACCAGAATCCTCAGGCCTCTGCGGATAAGCCAGCTGAGGATACAGTCACACAGGGTGGTTTAAGCACTGGGTCTACTCTTCCGTCACATTATCACACTTGAACATTTGATCTCCCCCGCCATCAGGAAAGACATTCTTGATGGTAAGGATGTCAACTTGGTGTCACTATTAATAGCTTTACAGGACATTATAAAAAACAGGACATACAGCTACAGGGATTTGTCTGTGGTCCTTAAGGCCAGGGATCCTAGACTAAATAAAAAACTATCAATCCCCAAGTTCATACTCGCCTTTGGGCTCTACACGGACATGATCTGTTCTGTGTACCCCCAGAGGCGGGAGGAACAGGATCTCTACTTGCACAAGTTGGTGGATTTGCTTTTTACGACTACCTCAAGCTCTGGCCCAGTTTAATATTTAAACTAGCTGGGGACACAAAGCTGTTTTGCAGGCATTTCGCTGGCTTGAAGCCCCCTGCTTGTGCGGTTTGTTCATCTTCCTCTCATTCCACCAACTTGTGCCCCTGCGAAGCTGAACTTTCCACTTCCTCAGCCCCGGCACGTGCCAATCCAGGTTCCTCCGTGGGTCAAGATTGGGGCCAGAAGGATAAACTGGGCAGACCCATCATTTTCCTGGGTAAGGCAACAACTTTAATGCGGGTACCTGCAATTACAGTGCATGTCGGTTTTAGCACATCTGTTCTATATGCTTTAGGGTACACGCTAAATCTATGTGCCCCTCCAAGCTTTTTATCAGGAAATGACTTACGGTGGTTAATTTGGACAAACTCACTTATCACTTGAGATCACAACCCTCTCCTCACCTGGTGGATTTCTTGGTGTCTGGTTTTTATGAGGGTTTTCACACAGGTCTAGTTGCACTCTCATCCGGCACACTTGAGTGCCCCAACCTGTTATCGGCTTACTCTGATCCCACAGCAGTAGATACTCTACTGGCGAAGGAAGTCCAGTTAGGTTTTTTTGCTAGGCCCCTTCACCCATCCTCCTTTTCAGTTATGGCGCTCGAACCCCATCGGTGTTGTATCAAACAAATCCTCCAATAAAAAATGGCTTATTTTTTATCTTTCGGCTCCTCATTCTTCACATACACTAAGCATTAACTCACTCATCCCAGCTGAAGAATTCTCCATCCATTACGCCACCATGGATTCTGCCATTCAGGCACATGGGTAAGCACTCTCTGCTAAGCAAAACAGACATCTCCAATGCGTACAAGCAGATTCACAATCCACCCATCCATGTGGCATATTCATTGTATTAAGAGGAGTTGAAATTATTACTTTTACACTAGATTGACTTTTGGTTCAGGAGCATCCTGAAACTGTTCAATATTTTCAAAGAAACGCTATGCTCCTTAATATCCTTAATGTCGTCCGATGTCACAAAGTGATTCACTACCTTAACAACTTTTTACTGGTGGAATCTGGTACACAGACGCCACAAAGTATTTTCAGCACCACAGCTCTTTTTTTCCCTGTTTCACCTGATAAAACTCTTGGACCATCTACCAGATTGGTGTTTCTGGGTATCAGCTTGGACACAGTGGCATTTCAGGCAAGCCTCCCAGATGAGAAATTGGTACGCATCCAAGAGGAATTGGGCTGATTCCTGCGGGTTGGTTCGTGTACTCGCAGAGATCTCCAGTCTTTACTGGGCTCGTAAAATTTTGCTATGCGAATCATCCCACATGGTATGGTGTTCATTTCCAGGCTTCTTTGTCTCCTACCCGGCTTGTCTGATGGTGCCACCTTTCTCCTACACCCCCCAGCCAGAGCGGAGTTACGCATTTGGCACCATTTTCTAATATCTTGGAATAGTATTTCTATGTTTATCCCACCTCTTTCTCACTTATCACCCTTTATCATGACTGACGCGGCACGAGAGTTTACTGTAGCAAAACAAACAAACATCATTTTTAAGCCTTAAAATATCAGATATCCCTCATTCGGTTCAACACGACCTGGGCCCAAGCATGGTATGAATCACAGCGAAAACACTACTGCAGGCTCCTCAAGAGGACCAAGCAACTCGCATCCTGCTCACCACACCGACTACATGACGGTCTATGCATAACCAGACCAAAACCCTGATGGGCGACATACAGGACTTGGTAACGGAGACCAGAAGACAGACCCGTAACCCACCACCCCATTGAAAGTCTACTAAACACTCCCTGACGTCCCCCACCCCTATTCTATTCAGTCGCCTTACCAACACCCATGGAAGGAAGACCGATTCTCATCTCATTCTTATCCCCCTTTAAAAACAAGTTTACTGCTATTTATTTCAATTACCGCTGTTGCTTTGATTGCTCACTTTTATAATGACAAGACCACAGAGGTTAGCTTACACAAGTTTGTTGAAAACTCATGTTCAATATTGATTGTACCTTATTGCATTGTCTCAAAACTGTAAGCATTGCACTTTGGAAAAAAAAAAATTTGGGAAAAAAAAATATCAACTATTAAGACACACCACAATCTCTAAAACGAATCACACTAATCAGCCATCCACTATCCCGCTGTATCCCACCGGGAACAAGTGGTGCCCGGTTAAAATACTTGACTCCTACCTGTCCATACTCGATCATATCATATATAACTCACCACTTCTCTCACTTCAAGCACTTACTACTGCTAAATTCATCTTCTATAACAGGACCCTACTCTTGAATTTAGGTTTTAACCCAGCATCATTCTCAGGTCATTCGTTTAGAATAGGTGCACCTTCCGACACTTTCAGCACCGACACCCCAGTGCGCATTATCAAGAGATTGGGGAGATGGAAATCCTCAGTCTATAATCGATATATTCCCCATCCAGAGAAAGGAATGAGGAAAACTTGTAAAAGTTTAACTCTGTAAATTTTCTGCGATAAAGTATGTTTTTCTTTGATACCTTTTGTCCTATTTTAAGTCAGGCCTACCCGTACGTTGGTTACGGCACACCCCAACCAACTTTGCATTAACACGATTTACGCTTATTACTAATATGTTTCTGACCACAAATATATAGATCTATATATATAGCCCCTGAGTAAATATTAAAAGGATTGTGTTGCACTTGCAAATGATTCAATCTTTTTTCCATAACAGCGTAGTACTGTCAAGACAAATTTTATACTTCTAATTGGAGCCATCTACATAATTTATGTAAACTACAGCAGGAGTGATCTTATGTAGAGAAATTATATTAGTAAGGAAAATGAGAATACTTTACTCTATTTAATGCTCAAAGGTAAATGGAAATGAAAGACAGTTCACCAAAGAAAGGTGCCTTTCAGACGATGATTATATCAAATCTGTACCATCAGGCTGTGGTAATTGAGCCCAGACTGATTAAGAAGAAAATGAAGATATGCAAACCTAATCTTTTAAATATGGATGATGACCGCTTATTGCGAAAATACATCAAAATGAAGCTCTTAATTTCCATCAAAAACCAATTGTTAAAATGGATTCTGCATATTTTAATGACTCACTAAGGTAACAGTGAATTCTTTTACCCGTGACTAATGCTTCAGACTTTCTTAAAGGTAAGTAGAGATTTGGTGCTGACGTACAATTTTACGTATAGAACGAACAAACTATCATTTTCTTTGTGTTCGTGCGGGAACATTACATAGAAACCTTTCAGCAGATACAATTATTGTACGTCTGTTTTATATTGGTAATCAGTAATGGTAGATTGTTTTTTAATTTAGATGTTTCTTTAACGCAGAACTGTCATTTCTATGATGTCTCGTGTGCATGTACACTTGGGCATCAAACATGGAAATGCTGTGTCACTTGGCTCTTTCTCCAACAGTTCTGTACACTTGCTGTAGTGCAGTTTTAAAAGCCATCCCACAGTAAGATGTCAACGTTTCTGCATGGTTTGATTACGTACCTGTGTAGTCCCTTGCACCCGCATCACATGCATCAAGATAATTCAGCTATCTCTGTAAAACAAAGCATGGCTGATATAGGACCATGCTCTAATGCTCATTGTCTGAGAGTGTGGGATGGTGACAGGCAGTGGCGGATCCAGAGCCTGATCTCGGGAGGGGCACTTGTAGATTATTTAAATAAATAATCCAGACACAATAACCACTACAGCTCAGTATAGTAGTTATGGTGCCAGTAGTGCCAGGATCCCATCCCAGAGTAAGTAGTCAAACCGTTCAACCGCACTGTATGTGTGTGTGGGGCAGTGTGTGTATGGGGGGGCACTGTATGTGTGTGTGGGGCAGTGTGTGTATGGGGCACTGTATGTGTGTGTGGGGCAGTGTGTGTATGGGGGGCACTGTATGTATGTGTGGGGCAATGTGTGTATGGGGGACAGTGTGTGTATGGGGGGCAGTGTGTGTGTATGGGGGGCAGTGTGTGTATGGGCCAATGTGTGTATGGGGGCAGTGTGTGTATGGGGGGCAGTGTGTGTATGGGGGGAAATGTGTCTATGGGTGTGCAGTGTGTGTATAGGGGGGTGAGGGGGGTAGGGAGGCTTTTTAATATATATATTTAAAAAAAAATATTTAATAAAATCAATATAATTATGTTCCCCCTCCCTTCTTACCTTTATTGAGGAGGAGGGGGGACATTTCTCCATCCCTGGTGGTCCGGTGGAGATTCCCTGGTGGTCCCAGTGGTGGTGAGGTGAACTCTAGCCCTTTGCTCCAGGTTCACTCTCGCGAGATTTGGAGCGTTGCCGCGGTAACGCTCCGTGCTCGCAAGAGTAGGACCCGGAGGAGCTGCAGGTAAGAGCTCCCGGGTCCTCTCTCCTCCCTCTCCCTCCCCTGCCGGCTGTCAGCACGGTGCCTGCGGACCGGGGAGGGAGATGTCTGAGCTCTGATCTCCCTCCCCGGTCCGCAGGCACATTGCAGGGCTGGCACTTGGACAATGCCAGCCCAGGGGAGAATCTCGGGGGGGCTCAATTGCCCCATTGCCCACCCCCTGGATCCTCCAATGGTGCCAGGGAACACCTGCAACCATAACCACAACAGCGGGCAAGGCTCGATTTACCATCCTTGCTGCTCCAAGGCCAATATTTTCAATGCAGCCCCCAATTTATATATATATATATATACACACACACACACACATATATATATATATACACACACACACATATATATATATATATATATATATACACACACACACACACATATATATATATATACACACACACACACACACACACACACAAAGTTTGGAGTACTCAGTTGAATGCATCTATATTGTAAATGGGACTAGGTTGGTGGCTGCTTAGTTTCTATTTTGTTGGACCAAATCCAGTTGGACTAAGTAACAGTTTTAAGCAGCATTGTTACAATTAACACCTTAAGGACACATGACGTGTGTGACATGTCATGATTCCCTTTTATTCCAGAAGTTTGGTCCTTAAGGGGTTAAAGACAAATATTGAGTAGAAAAGACCCCCTATTTGTTATAATGAAATTATATTACACATTTTGGAATTTCCCACCTTAAAAGTTTCCCTGCTCAGTTTGGTGGGTCTGCCTCCATCTGCAGGCAGCATCTTTCCAAACTATAGACTTCTGTACAGCAAAGGTTTATGGGATAATCAATATAGCTTCACTTATTGCCTAGAATGAGAGGAATTGCTCTGTAAACGGATAGCAGACATACCGCATCTGCTATTAGTTTTTACAGCTCAGCTCAAGGTGCGCACGAGGTGTGGAGACGCTGCATAGATAACTTGGCCAAAAATAACACAAACAGCCCTGAACGCTTTATGCATCTCTGCAGTTCTAATGCACTCTCAGAGCAGAGAGAGACTCGGGATGTACCATGCACCATCAGCCTTGTGATTATACAAAGTTGTGATGGTGCCTTGAGTGACCCTGTAATTTGTATTTTTGAGGCAAAGTAAGAACTGGACAGACAACTGTACAATTAGCTTTACTACCCTAATATAAAGAGACTATGGGGCCTATTCACTGAACTGCATTAAACTGAAAACAGAATCCCAAAATTCAGATTAAAATAACCAAGGTGTTATTATAGGTGAATTATTTTTTTTTTTTTTTTAAATCTGCACATTTAATTTAATATAGAGAATAGGCAAAGGGGATTGCAAAATGTAGGTCAAAGTAGTAGAATCAGTAAGCAAAAATGGAAAACGAAGCAATTTTTCCACGATTTTGCCTTATCTGCAATTTCCTTTCCCAGTCCTCCACAATTCCTGGTGAATAAACCCTAGACAGTATTAGTCTGTCTCCTCTTCATTTATTTATTCAAAATTAAATAGTTATTTAATGTGTTAATAAATGTTTTGTGATGACATCTGCTTATAAGAATTATTTTCCCAGCGATTTATCAAATCTAAAATATTGTACAGTAATAATAAAGGATAATTAACCTCAGAAAATCCAAGATTATACCCATGTCTTCTATTCATCTTCTAATGTATTATCTACCTGTAATATTTAATGGGTTATTATTATGCACGTTGTATAATGTGTTTAGACTGGGGTGGCCAATATATAGTTAGTTAGGCTTTTAGTTTGCAGTGTTACCATTTCCATTCTCCTTTCCTAGTTAGTTTCAACGTCACGACCATCTCAATGCTCAAGAGAAGAAGGCCGATCAGTAGCAACCAGTAGAGACTGTTACTTTTCACTACTACCACTCTCCATACCAGCACGGCTCCATGGGCCATGAATAAAGCCCGACTGATCACAGCCAACAGAATCCTGCGGAACTGGCTCATCTTTTTTCGCATCGTATCTTCTGCCTGCAGAAACAAAACGCCCAGATGTTGAGGTGTATTGCAATAATGGAAACAACTGATCATACCTTAGACTTTCGGCATCAAGGTAAAGGGAACAATCTTTATTCACTAAACACGGAGTTGGTTTCTGACTCTAAATTATCAAGTCCCCTAAATATTGTCATTTATTCAATACTATTAATTTGTCAAAAAAACTTTACAAGCTAGTTAGCGGTCTACCACATCTCAAAGTTTAGCGAATAAACTCTGTAACTCCACAAGGCAGTAAGTTTCACCAATCTCTTTCATAATTCACAATTTAAAACATTCCCTGTATATTAGCAACACTTCCTGCCTTTTTAATGTACAGGGAATGTATGGCAGTTCCAGTTAAAGGGACACTCCAGGCACCCAGACCACTTCTGCCCATTGGAGTGGTCTGGATGCCAACTCCCACTACCCTTAACCCTGCAAGTGTAATTATTGCAGTTTTCCTAAACTGCAATATTTACCTTGCAGGATTAACTCCTACTCTCGTGGCTGTCTACTAGACAGTCATTAGAGGGCACTTCCTTGTTTATAGCACACGAAAAGTGCTATAGCGTCGCTGGACGTCCTCATGCTATGTGAGGACCTCCAGCGTCGCTGAAATCTCCATAGGAAAGCATTGAAAGCATTTTTCAATGCTTTCCTATGGGGAGGTCTAATGCGCATGCGCGGCATTGCCGCGCATGCGCATTAGGTCTCCGTCGGCGGAGGTGGAGCGTGGGCGGACCCAGAACCAGCGCTGAGGGACATCGGCGCTGGATACAGGTAAGTCACTGAAAGGGTTTTAACCCCTTCAGCAACTTGGGATTGGGGGGTGGGAGGGAGAGAGGACCTGCAGTGCCAGGAAAACGGTTTGTTTTCCTGGCACTGGAGAGTCCCTTTAAGTTTTTTTGGTTTAAATGTCTGAGACTAAATCTTTATCAACCTTATATATTGCTATGTTTCTGCTAATACATCACACATTTTAAAAATAAATAAACTTAATTTTCATTTAGTGTATGTATAACAGTTTAAAGGGACACTATAGTCACCAAAACAATTTCAACTTATATAAGCAGTTTTGGTGTATATTTCATGGCTCTGCAGTTTCACTGTTCAATTTTCTGCCATTTACGAGTTAAATCATGTTTGTTTCTGTCCATGCAGCCCTAGCCCTAGCCACACCTCCCCTGGCTGTATCTCACACAGCCTGCATGAAAAAAAAAATGATTTCACTTTCAATCAGATATAATTTACTTTTAGCTCCTGCTCGCTAAATTTAACTTTACTCAAGCACAGGAGACTCCTGCAAGGTCTAGTAATCTATTAACAGAGCAGGAGATAAGACATTCTAAATTAAACTGAATTTGCAATGAAGGAAGTGTAAACATTAGATCTCACTTTACAGGTAGTGTTTAGGATGGTGGTGTAAATCACATGCAGGGAGGTGTCACTAGAGCTGCATAAACAAAGTGATTAAACTCATAAATGGCAGAGATTTGAGCAATAAAACTGCAGGGGCATGATCTATACACCAAAACTGCTTCATTAAGCTAAAGTTGTTTTGGTGAACATAGTGTCCCTTCTAATCTGGGAATATAAACTTTAAAAGTGTAAAGTTTTTTTGCTAAGCAAAGAGTTGTGATGGATAGACAAGGTTGCAAAATGCGTTGGTTTTCCCCCCCAACCCATCTACTGGCTAAATAAAGGGGACTGTCACTTCTCAGAATTTGTTATTTTCTGTTTAACAAATATGTATTTGTGAGGTGTGAGAAATAAAGTTAAATGTAGAAATCCACACATTCCTATTCTCCAACAGACATCTGTCTTAGCTCCTTGTCAGATCATTGCTGCAAGCTCTATTATATTTGCTTCTTGCAGATAGCATGGAAAAAGCATGCATAGAAGATGACAAATGACACAATGTTTCCATTTATCCTCATCCAGTGCAATATGTGCTCTGGCTATCGTTGTACAAAATGGCATTGTATTGGTATTTGCTAAATCTTTAAAAGGAACGCTATAGAGTTATGAATCAAACTGTATATAGTATATTTGCAAAAAAAAAAAAAAAAAAAAAAATCATATTAAATAAGAACAATAAAGGTTAAAAAGTTATGGTTTTGCCCCCCTTAATTACACCAACTTTTGATTTTTTAAAAAAATTTGTAACAAAATATTTGCAGTTTTTGTATATTGTTTTAAATCTTTGCAGTTTTTGTATATTGTTTTAAGACTATTACTCAGAAGCAAAGCCCAAATATGATAATTTAATAATATGAAAACTTTATAACTTGTATAATGTATACACAAACCGTTTGCTAAGTGACATTTATTACAAAAGACATTTTTTTAAATTGCATAATTTGTAATTAATAGAGCTTACTAACCAACATATTAATTATTTTATCATCTCTTTCAGTACATTTATTTAAACACCTGATTCATTTTGGGTACAACTGCCACAAAACTATTCAAGGGAAATAATATATAGTTTAGGACCGGGAATCCCAATTTCGAATCTTGGTCAGACCTTACCTGCAAGTGGAAAAGACACCTAATGATCTATATCTGCCTACTTCAAATCTTCATAAAGTGTAAGTCCGCTGGAATAGGTCCTCCTTCCCCGTCTAGGGGAACAATATGTTGGCGCTATATAAATTCTAACAATATTTTCTGGCAATTTGTCTTACATTGACCAATCTGTCAACAAAAGAGGTATACCCAAGAAAAACTGAATTAGTTTTTGGATTTCTGATTCACTTTAACGGACTATTCTGCAGAGAATTCCTCAATTTTGACCTTAAAAGATAGCATTGATGAACATAACTGTATCTAATATGTAAATGTTTATCAGTGATCGCTAGACAATGCTGTGCATGTGTGTGGTCTACGAATTTCACTTCTGTTTTATTGTGCATATAAAACAGTAATTTATTCTCTTTCTTTAATGAATAATTGGGATGTTAAATAAGACAGACCTATCCGACAGGGATACCTAACTAAACAGTGAAAGCTTAGGAATTCAAAGTTAACTTAACCCCTTAAGGACATATGGCATGTGTGACATGTCATGATTCCCTTTTATACCAGAAGTTTGGTCCACAGTGATATTTACCAAAGTGAATTTCAAATTTAAGGTCACAATTACCAAATTAGAAAGATTCTCAAATCAGCTACTAGTTCAACTATTTTGGCCTTAAAATTAGCTCTCTTTATGGAATAACCCTGTAAGTGAATTTCAAATTTTCGTCCAAAAATGCCAAACTGTAAAGTCAGCTAAGTTGGACAATTATTATTTTCCAATAAAGCCTAAAAATGTTAACTCACTTTGAATTGCAGAGAAATCACAATTAAGTGAATAATAGCTTAATATTTCTAAATTTTCTATGCAAAAACTTTAAAGTAAGGTAAAGTTTCAAAGTATATAAAGTAAATGCCTTTTTATTATGTATATAAATATTCTCTCTCTCGGCCAAAATAGTAACAACACAATCAACTAATTACTTTAAACGTTCTCAGTTCCTAGTGATTAAGCTCCTTGATTTCCAACACAGGTGGAATAAAAGCATACTTTATCCATTTTATAACCTGGAATAAGTAAAAGAGAATGTTCAAATAATAGCATTACTGTTTGACAACGAATGCCTTACCTTTCCCGTTTCTTGAATTAAATATTTTCCTTCTATAGTTTTTCAAAGAAAAAAAATTGCTTTGTTTTTCTTTAAAGGCACATGATTGAGCTGAAGTCTTGTTCTAAGTACTGAAATACTCTCTGAGCACTTAAATGGAGAGGAATACACCCACATATCCAGTGATTTAATTAAGCCAACTGATAAAGGTTTCATCCTTTAAACACACCCTTAATGACTGGTCTATCTGCTAAGCCATGTTGATGAGGCAGGAGAAGGCTATTTTGCTTTTGAAGCTGGTTGTGTGAGATGTACCTATTTTTTCTAAGTATTGTTTCTAAACCGACAAATATTCAATTCATGGATTGCGTTGGCATACATCTATTTTAACATTGTAGACAGTTAAACTTGGTTATCAGAAAGAAGAATTAAGGATATCATTTTAGAGGTTAAGAAATAGAGGAGACAAAAGGGAAAGAGGAAAAAAAAAATTTGTGTGTGGATTTCTTTGAATGTTTGTGTGTAACATTTTGTATGCGATGACAAAATTAGATTTGCAACAAATGGTTACACTGTATGACATGTGCAGGTTTGTGAGACACGTTCGTCTGTTGAACGTGCAAGAGGCATATTTGTTGCATGTGTCATGGTCTTGAGCAGGTCAGATAAGAGACTTTGGCCAGAGTTAACGTTAGGTTCTTCATTGGTGAGTTTGGACATAGTAAGGTAACACGAAATCCTATAAATAAGATTATAGGGAGAAGGAAAAATTGGAGAACCTATAAACGAAATTATAGGTAATGGAAAGAAGGTGAACCTATAAATGGAATTCTAGGCAAAGATAGATAGAACGAACCTATAAACAGAATTATAGGTAAATAGGTAGAAGGTAAATTAGAAATAGAGGTTTAGGCAGTATGCCTCAGACAGGATTATAAACAGGATAGAATTAGTTAGTAACAAACACCTATAGTGGAAAGTACTATAGGGTATATAGAAAAATAAGTAAAATAGAACAGAACAGTAAGGTTTCGGAATTACAGGTAAAATAGCAGGTAAGTAAATCAGACCCCTGTTGGAAGGAGCACTGATAAAACAGGTAAATAAATCCTTGCAATATTAGTTAGTAGTGAAGTCCATGTTGGTGTTCTGCAGGTTGGTAGTGTAAACCGGGGGGGTGTAAAGCAGGTTAGTAGCATAGTTCAGGTTGGAATGGAGCAGGTTGGTAATAAAGCTGGATTTGTAGAGTTGTTTAGGTTGGACTAAAGTAGGCTGGTAACAAAAGGATGATAACGTAGATCAGGTTGGTTTTCAATAAGAAGGTAAGTCCATAGGTATGAGTACAGAAGTCTTTCTGGTTGACCATCAACTTCATTGTAAAGGGCCTGTATTGAGCAGGGTGTAGCTTTTTGTAGGATTAGTAATCAGTCCAGGCAGGTGAGGATGATGAAGGTGAGTTTAGTTCTAGTGGTTAGGGTGGCCACTAGTGGTGACAAAACTGGAACTTGTTTTAAAGAAACAGAATAAAAGAAACATACTCCTTGGTTGTCAGGATAGGATCCTGACAGCATGTGGAACATTTTTTTATTTGTTCAGAGATAATGTGTGCAGTATGTGTGTGAAATGTTAACATTTGAGGAAGGCTTGGTTAGATGCAACGTTTGCTAATTCAGTGGTGTAAAAGTACTCAAAAGCTCTACATCAGGGAACTGTAACCATTGAATCATCTTGGAACACAGAAATAACTCATCATTCATTCCACCATGTATGGTGTGTAAGAGGTTCATAATTTTGGGGGTCCAGTGTGCTCCCTATCAACCTATGCCATGAGACATTGGTTACATCTGTGAACCAGGATGGCTTATTTATGCCAATTCACTTCAGCCATAGTAATAATCCCCACATTTCTGGGGAGCTGCCCATTTAATTTACATAAGAATACATTCTTTCATCTGAGAGGAATATTACTTCTTCCTAGTGGCTGTTATGATAGTAAAAGAATAGTAAATATATAAAGAGGTAGAAAGATGATATTGGCTCAAACAAAAACAATCAAGAAATTAAAAACCAAGGATAAGCAGAATCTAGTCTTTTACACCAGGAAAACATTTCACATGCCACTCCCACAACTAACAAGTCACATCCTGCAAGGATTTAATTTAAAAAAAAAAAATCTTTATTGATAATTATTAAAAATACACATGATGATTCAGTTAAAATAAATTCAGTTACACCAAAAAAGTCCTCAATTTAAAAAAAGTTGGGATATTTCTTTTCAAGTTATTTAATATTTTTGGATAATGTTAAAATGATTTAATACTTCCAAAATGTTTTAACATTTTGATATATTTTTTTAATGATTTTTTAAATTTTATTTTAGTATTTTGAAAAAAAAAAGTAAAAAAGGTTTATCCAAAAACATGAAAACATTTGAAAAGCGTATCCAAAAAAATATTCAAATTGAGGACGAAGCAAACCAACATGCACTTTGACACATTTAGGCTCATATAGCAAGGGTCATGCTGAAGTAGAAGAATAATCAATACAATAATGATTATCTATAGATAAAATGGTACCCTCATTTGTGAATGATTGCCCTTTTATTTCTTTGTTTTAACTCCTTAAGGACCAAACTTCTGGAATAAAAGGGAATCATGACATGTCACACATGTCATGTGTCCTTAAGGGGTTAAGGTGCCAAGTGCAAGATTATGCATCTTCAACATAAAAACCCAAGGACAAAGTAAAGAATTTTCAATAGAGTCCTAGCCTGAACATCTGAGGAAAGGGATTATAGGGGTAATTATTTCATATGACTTAAAGGTAGGCAGACAATGTAATAGAGCAGCAGGAAATGCTAGCAGAATGCTTGGTTGTATAGGGAGAGGTATTAGCAGTAGAAAGAGGGAAGTGCTCATGCCATTGTGCAGAACACTGGTGAGACCTCACTTGGAGTATTGTATGCAGTACTGGAGACCGTACCCCTAGAAGTATATTGATACCTTAGAGAGGGTTCAGAGAAGGGCTACTAAACTGGTTCATGGATTGCAGGATAAAACTTACTAGGAAAGGTTAAAGGAACTTAACATGTATAGCTTGGAGGAAAGACGAGACAGGGGGGATATGATGGAAACATTTAAATACATAAAGGGAATTAACACAGTAAAGGAGGAGACTATATTTAAAAGAAGAAAAACTACCACAACAAGAGGACATAGTCTTAAATTAGAGGGGCAAAGGTTTAAAAATAATATCAGGAAGTATTACTTTACTGAGAGGGTAGTGGATGCATGGGATAGCCTTCCAGCTGAAGTGGAGGAGGTTAACACAGTAAAAAGGTTAAGCATGTGTGAGATAGGCATAAGGCTATCCTAGCTATAAGATAAGGCCAGGGACTATTAAAGTATTTAGAAAATTGGGCAGACCAGATGGGCCGTATGGTTCTTATCTGCCGTCACATTCTGTTTCTATGTGCCTGTCTCCATACCACAATAATCCTATATATTTCTATTGTAACAGTCAGTATGTTTTTGCAGATAAAGAATATCATTGTTTTACTACGCACTCCGTGCTTTATTAGGAGGTAAAGGCGGAAACCTAGGAAGGGTCCATCCTGCATCACCACTGCTATTACCAGGGACCATACCTCTCTAGCAGAGAGTATGCAACTGCATTGTTTGCGTGCAGCAGGCACAGAAACAGAATCTTTGCTAATTCTTTTATCCGGAGACTCCGATGATTGCGTGAGTACTAATGTAAACTGCAAGATTGCCCAGCTGAAAAGACATAATCCCACTACTGTTACGTTATTTTTTCTTATCTGATCATCTTTTAAAAATGTTAAAATATCCAGTATATCAGCACCCAGTCCGATATATAGGAGCAGAAGCTGTGCAAGTTGTTCCCTTGTCATCTCTCCCTTTGGCATTATCCATCGTCCCACAATCAAAACTAGGATCATCAGCTGCTCCATTGCATCCAACCATTCACGATATGACTTCATTGAGTAATTCTATGGTGAGATTAAAAAAAGAATGCCTTTTTAGTTTTACAGAATAAATAACTAGAATGCAGTAGAACATTACAATACTGTTAGCATTTTTTGTTTAGTCCAGCAAAGCGTAACCTTGCACATATGTGGATATTAATTTTACATCTGCTATTACTTTGGAAATCTAATTTCCCAAAAATACCTGAAAACTCTTTGCCAATAGCCTTCAGCAGAGTATGTGATCACATTCCTAATAATTCTACAATAATACCTACAGCATATTACTAAAGGACCACTATAGTGCCATGAAAACATACTCGTTTTCCTGGGACTATAGTGCCCTGAGGGTTGGATGGAGAGGAAGGGGTTAAACTTACCTCTTTCTCCAGCGCTGGGCTGGGAGCTCTCCTCCTCCTCTCCGCCTCTCCGCCTCCTCTCCTCCTCTTCGGCTGAATGTGCATGTGCGGCAAGAGCCCCGCGCGCATTCAGCCAGTGTCATAGGAAAGCATTTACAATGCATTCCTATGGACGCTGGCATCTTCTCACTGTGAAAATCACAGTGAGAAGCACGCAAGCGCCTCTAGCGGCTGTCAATGAGACAGCCACTACAGGCTGGATTAACCCTAACATAAACATAGCAGTTTCTCTGAAACTGCTATGTTTATAGAAAAAAGGGTTAATCCTAGCTGGACCTGGCACCCAGACCACTTCATTAAGCTGAAGTGGTCTGGGTGCCTATAGTGGTTCTTTAAAACTGATAATGGGGTATTTTGATGCAAGAAGATGCTATAATCTTCAGCAATTTATTATCTAGCCCCTCATATAAAAACTCTGTATAGCACAAAAAGTACTTTAAAAAAAAAAATGGCACATGTTTCCATACATACAGTAATTTTCTTTTCCTGATTAAGCCATGGCAGCATTGACTTATGAGCTATCTCTCCTTTCACATCAGAAAGGACAGAAAACAGAACTGTGAAACCAGCATTAATAGTATTGCCACAACCCCCATACAAGAATGGCAGGATTATAATGCAAGAATATAAAATGAATGTAAGTTCGGAAAACATTTTCTATTTTACTTATCAAACCATGACGGCATTGACTTATGGGAAATACATGTGATGGGAGGGACAGCTAATACATAGAGTTCATATCAGCTAAAATGTACAATGTACATTACTGGCCTGTATGGATGTCAAATATGAACTTCTCAAAGTTCAAAATTCCTAAAAAGGAAATCGTTAGTTTAATTTATAGGACCTCCTCCTACCTGCCCAGACAGGAGGAGGACATTTCAGAGTCAGCTGGTCAGCAGTTGCATGGTATTCAATCACTTTGGACATCCAGGATACCTCATACAGTGTCTTGGAAATCAGAAGATCAAAGGACAAAGTCTTAACCACTTAAGGATGGGGATGGGGGTAATTGTCCAAGTTTTCAAAAACCTAGAATTTAATACTTCAAAGATGTATTCCTAACACTAAAGTGCCCCCCTGCCTGTGCCCCCTTCGTCCATGAAATGGTTAAAACAAACTTTCAGTCACTTACCTAATTCCAGCACTGATGTCAGTCCTCCGCCGCCGGCCACCTACGGGGTAGCCCAATGTGCCTGCAATGCTTTCCTATAGGGATTTTACAGACACTGGATGTTTTCATGCAAAGTCAAACTCAGTGAAACTACAGGAAGCACCTATAGAGGTCTACATTGAGTAACTCCTCTCAGTTGTCTGCGCTCTTTTTGGTTGGTATTTTATATTGCTGCTGTGCCTAGATCATTATACATTATGTCGATTCCAGCCTTTTGCATGCTGACATTTTATGGCTACAGTATATATCTTCGCAGATAATACAGGTTAGTATTAGACATGGAAATGGTCCTAGGTTCTTCATTATAAATGAAGTCCTATACGACTGAATTGAGACACTATCTGCATAAGTAGATTTGGATTTACCTCCTATAAAGAGAAGTTTGAAACATTCACAGTGCAGGCTTATTTCAGATTGTTATGTCACATTACATACTTTATAGTGTAATTTGAATGTATGTCCTTTTTACAAATCACCTACACTTTGTCTTAAAATGGGGGGAGAATTGACCTATATCATAATCTGTATACTGTAGATTTTTCATAACAGTCTCAGGTTTGTTATGGGGTCTGGAGAGCTTTCTTCCCACAGCAGCAACTTCAAATATAAGGAATGCAGGTTCTAAAATGACATCATAATACAGCACTCCATATTACTTAAATTTGCTGGACAGTATCTAGTCATTGTCAATGCATTGTTTTCACCACAGCATCGTATTCCTTTTACAGTTTCAATAGTGTCCTGTCGACTCCAAATATCTGTTTTCATTGGCTTACTGTATCATACCTCCCACTTCCGACAGGTGGGGGGGTAGAGGAAACCAATGAAGATTGCGTAACTGGCTCTGCCCTAAGGTACGCTTGGGTGCCTGCCAATCATGTAAGGCCAACCTGCAGAGGACATATCCTGTAGGGAACATGGTTTCTTTAAAGTTGCATGACATCTCTGATTTTTATTTTTCATGAATTATCTCTCTGAAATAACTGCCCCTTTCAGTTGATAGATGTATATTAGGGATGTATAGAATGGAACAGTAGCAAACTATGTAGCAGTGACTGAATCCTCAAATGCATAAAAAAAATAAAAATAAAAAAAAGTTTTACTTACCTTTTCTCCGAGTTCCGAGACTCCCTCCTTGCTGCTGCTGTGCCTCTTGCAATGCCATCATGGAGGAATTGCATCCCAGATATTATTTCAATCTAATGCTACTCATGGAGGTGCATTAGGGACATAATACACATACGGGATGCTGCACGCATTCAATCAAATGTTTCAAATAGGAAAGCATTGAATTCAACACTTTCCTATGAGCTGTATTTGGTCACAAGACCAGTTTCACTTGGTTGTTGCTTAGGAAGTACTTCTTGTGACTGAATGGAAGACAGCAACCAGAGCCAGAGATGTTCTTAACCCTGTAAACATTGCAGTTTCCATTGCAGGGTTAAAACTACAGGACCACTTTATTGAGATGATGGTCTGGGTGACTTTAGTGGTCCTTTCAAAGGGTTTATTTTATCCTTAAAGTATACCTGTAGTATTATTTTAACCTATGCTTTTTAGAAAGAGCATAAGAATACGTCTATACACTGTGCTAGCAGTTTTGCTAGCAAATGTTTAGTTTGTGAGACAAACCTATTTAGAAAGTCTTTCTCCCAACTATTATAAGTCAATGCCTCAGCAGGCACTGATTGCCGAGGCATTTATTGACAAACGAGAACAGAAAACATCTCACACAGGATGTCCTTGTGCTCTCCCCAGTATAGCCAACACAGCCCATGTGCTTTAATTGTGGAGAAAACCCCCTTGCAGGCACTGCAAGCGATATCACTCTGTTTCAACATCACTGAGGAGGTTTGTCCTGCTTAGGGATGCGTCCCAAGCAGGACAAATCAAAGACAAACAGAAGCGGATGGCCTGGATGTGGCTGTTACAGATGGAGTAACACCAACAAAGCGGAGCTGGAGAGGTGAGTAAATATCCATATTTTACATTGAATATATCATGTATCTTTGTGATATGGCGTATTCAATGTATATGGGAGCAATTTCATGTAAGTTAATACCTTCATTACAGGTTCACTTTAAAAGGATACGTTATGCACTAAAACAACTTTATTTTAATGAAGTAGTTTTGGTGTATAGATCATTATCCCTGCTCAATTCTCTGCCATTTAGGAGTTAAATTACCTTCCCTTGCTGTGACTAATACAGTCAACATAAAAAAAAAAAAAAAGAAAAAAGGTTTCATCTTCAATCAGCACAGCAGGGGTCAAGTCCGGGGGGAAAAAGTGTGGGAACTCACCCAAGAACCACCTCCTCCCTTAAGAAAAATTATACACTCATATGCATATATATCTATAGCTGAGTGAAGGGGTGACAGTGTGTGGAGGCTGAAAGTAATTGGGGATGGTAATATTGTATGAAGGAGGTGTCAGTGTGTGTATGGGGATGATAGAGTGTGTGTGTGTGAGGGTGACAGGGTGCGTGTATGGGGGGAGTGACAGGGTGTTTGTGTGTGTGTGTGTGGAGAGGTGACAGGGTGTGTGAGGGGGCTGTGACAGGGTTTGTGGGGTGAGGGCTGTGAGAGGGCAAACAAGTCCTGCAGGAGCAGCAGGACCACTAACGGGAACGGCGTTCCTGCTATGGAAATAGTGCAGGCATGCCATTCCCAGGCGTTCCTGCAGGACTCGAACCCTGCAGCACAGTGTATTAACTTTAGACGTTTGTCTCCTGCTCTGTTGATTAAACTTTAGTCACATGCAGGAGGCTTCTGCAGCTTCTAGCAGTCTATTCACAGAGCAAGAGATCAGAAATTCTGCATCAAACAGACTGTGATATAGAGGAAATTTAAACATATTTACAGGAAAT